AATTCTAGATACTAACAGTGTGAACAGACATGAAGGTGTGATGTTAGCTGATGCATAGGAAATCCTTATTAATAAATAAAAAATGGATATGTATCACTAATTATTAATACTTGGTCAAAATTCTCGACTGTCCATACCTTCTTATGCAGACGTTAAGAAGTGTTTTACAACTGTTTACCCACACACACACATACACACTCTGTTTAAAGTGTTTAACATAGGTAGACCAATATTTGTAAGTCCGGGGTCAAATTTTGATCACAGCTCATAGAATTTTGTTTATTATACTTGTTGAATGACTCATGATTGGACAAAGTTTTTAAAAACAAGTGATCTTCCTTTCATATATAAACCCCTGTTATGTTGATTTCGATTAATTTCCCTGAAGAAGTTCGGACCAGATTTCCGAGCGAAACCTTGGAATTACTCATTTCAATCTCGCTGAGATTTTACAAATATAATTTTTGACAAATGTCTACTTCTCACTCGGTGCCCAAATATTTTAGAACTATTCTGTCAAATCTTGACGACAGTTCATTTGAATTATTTTGCAATCGAATTAAATTAACAAAGAAACTGTGTAATTGGAACAATCATCGGGTTTTCACTCTCCCTTGTCTGCAACAGAATGCATATCCTAAATCCGTAGCTGTCGAGTCACCTGACAACTCCAGTAGGTCGAATAAAGCAGCTCAATCTTCAGAAAGAAGACAAAGCAAAACGTCCGACAGGGTGCTTCTACTAAACTCCAATCCCAAACACCATAATTCTCAAAATACGTCTCATCATAAAATTCTAGATACTAACAGTGTGAACAGACATGAAGGTGTGATGTTAGCTGATGCATAGGAAATCCTTATTAATAAATAAAAAATGGATATGTATCAGTAATTATTAATACTTGGTCAAAATTCTCGACTGTCCATACCTTCTTATGCAGACGTTAAGAAATGTTTTACAACTGTTTACCCACACACACACATACACACTCTGTTTAAAGTGTTTAACATAGGTAGACCAATATTTGTAAGTCCGGGGTCAAATTTTGATCACAGCTCATAGAATTTTGTTTATTATACTTGTTGAATGACTCATGATTGGACAAAGTTTTTAAAAACAAGTGATCTTCCCTTCATATATAAACCCCTGTTATGTTGATTTCGATTAATTTCCCTGAAGAAGTTCGGACCAGATTTCCGAGCGAAACCTTGGAATTACTCATTTCAATCTCGCTGAGATTTTACAAATATAATTTTTGACAAATGTCTACTTCTCACTCGGTGCCCAAATATTTTAGAACTATTCTGTCAAATCTTGACGACAGTTCATTTGAATTATTTTGCAATCGAATTAAATTAACAAAGAAACTGTGTAATTGGAACAATCATCGGGTTTTCACTCTCCCTTGTCTGCAACAGAATGCATATCCTAAATCCGTAGCTGTCGAGTCACCTGACAACTCCAGTAGGTCGAATAAAGCAGCTCAATCTTCAGAAAGAAGACAAAGCAAAACGTCCGACAGGGTGCTTCTACTAAACTCCAATCCCAAACACCATAATTCTCAAAATACGTCTCATCATAAAATTCTAGATACTAACAGTGTGAACAGACATGAAGGTGTGATGTTAGCTGATGCATAGGAAATCCTTATTAATAAATAAAAAATGGATATGTATCAGTAATTATTAATACTTGGTCAAAATTCTCGACTGTCCATACCTTCTTATGCAGACGTTAAGAAATGTTTTACAACTGTTTACCCACACACACACATACACACTCTGTTTAAAGTGTTTAACATAGGTAGACCAATATTTGTAAGTCCGGGGTCAAATTTTGATCACAGCTCATAGAATTTTGTTTATTATACTTGTTGAATGACTCATGATTGGACAAAGTTTTTAAAAACAAGTGATCTTCCCTTCATATATAAACCCCTGTTATGTTGATTTCGATTAATTTCCCTGAAGAAGTTCGGACCAGATTTCCGAGCGAAACCTTGGAATTACTCATTTCAATCTCGCTGAGATTTTACAAATATAATTTTTGACAAATGTCTACTTCTCACTCGGTGCCCAAATATTTTAGAACTATTCTGTCAAATCTTGACGACAGTTC